TTTGTAAAGTACTGTCGACTGGCGTGTACTTACGTCAAAAGTTTCAATACACGACGTAAGGTAAGCCGGACTCCGTCCTAAGGGCTAGACGAGAGAGCACTAGAAACCTCTCTACCTGACTACAAGGGTGTCCAGGCGTCGCAGTCCTGATAGTCAACTTAAGCAGGCAAGTGTGGTCTGGTGCGGTTATTGGGCGCGATGGTCGTCGGTGTTTGGGAGTGGAACAGGTCTAGCCGGGGAGACAGTCTGGCACATAGTGTGTCTGCTCTGTCGTGGCACTTTTACTCGCCGTCTAAAGTACAACTAACTAGGCAAACTAAAGGGATTGTGGAAATTGACGGCATGCAATGGTCTAAATCATCTGATTCTTTATGATGGAATGATGCAAGTAGTTAGAAACAGCATGCAAGTTGATGCATAAATAGGATCGGGTGTGGGGGAAACACTTGCTCCTGTGGAGCAGGTTATATCGGTCGCACGAGTCAGCGATTATCCAAAAGAATACTGGAGCACTTTTTACATAAAACGTAAGAAGGAATTGTCCTTGTACTCATTGGATGCGAATTGCGTCTTTTTGCTATTTTATACTCAAAGAAAGGATACCCTTTGGCTTTAGAAAACTTTCCCATTATAAAATTTCCGAAGACCGTAAAGTGTCCATTCAAATGACTTTTTATTCGTACGTGCTTTTCACGAAGGACACAACACATTTGTATGAGTGCATCAGAAATAAAAAGAAAAAAATCATTCTTATTTGTTCGTGTTTTTTTTCGGACTGTGGGTTTTACGAGCGACTGAGAAAGTGTCCATTCAAAAACCAGCATTCTGGCGCATCTGAAACATCTTGCAACTCCGCTGCAAGCTAGTGCTTCCTAATCGAAAATGCATCTCATAATGTCGATTAACATTTCAGGAGACCGGCCGTTAACTGTAAGTTCAATGTTCTATTATTGAGTCGGAGGACTTGTGCGTTGACAGATATTATCGGGGAGTTTCAACACTGTAGGATGTACGCCTGCTTTGGTTATCTACCTAGCTCCAAATATCGAAGACCCAGGAAGAGAAGG